GAATGAAGGTGGCACAGATGCCCTCAGTGCCAGTGCATCTAGTCTAGCAGCCTCATCAGAAGCCAGGAGCAGGAGCCACAAGCACTAACAGGAAAAGCTAATGGCCTGGGCAGGGGAGAGGTACCAGATCTTTTTGATTGAGTTGGAAGTCTACTAGAAGAGGGACACTACACTGATGCTGAGGTGGGCGCTTGCATTTGGCACCTTGCTCACTGGCACCAGGATGGATGGACAAGCCCTCCTTCAGAAGGAGCTTCTTTATCTTCTTGGGTCAAGGCTTGAAGGATCAGCAGATGCTGCTGTGGCTGATCTGCAACCACAAGACAATGAAGATACCTACAAATAGGGAACCACTGGCAGGATCTATTTACCACAGCTGGGTCAAGGTGGAGGGTTACTTGAAATCACCACTGCAAAGACTACTACCACAGATAGCGACTGGCAGGACACAAAGCAGTGTACATCTCCAGACTATGACTAAAGAAAATCAGGCACCAGGAAAGCAGGTGCATTATGTAAAGTAATTGATGGGGCATGCTTTCTTCACGGTAAGTGAGAAACTGAAAGGGTGATGTGCATAGTCTGCCTTATATACCTATGTACTGAGTGATAATAATGGGTGCAAGTACATGTTACAAATGCTACAAATAAAAATTCCTTCCTGTTTCAAGTAACAGGATTTGTGCACAGCCACTGTCTGAATACTGATCTGTCAAGGACTGAAAGCAAGTTTTGCAAGGATAAAAGAAAGGCCAAGTCTTCAAGACCCGAGCCACTGAGACTGCACCAATGTATCCACAACATGATTGGTATCCCCATGATCTAGGCAATAACTGACACTTCTGTCTTCATGCAGTAGCTTCTGGGCAGATTCAAAAAAACTGTTCTATAGAACAGTGGCAGAAAGGCTACCAAACCAGTTTTGATGTCATACACATTGATGCTAAACTTCTAAACAACTTATACTAAACCATTACCTGATTTAGTAGCAAATCTGATCAGCGGCAGACCTGATATGCTGCACCTCAGCCACAGAACCCCTCCATTGGGATGGGACAGCCGTGGGAACAGCTTGCACCCAGGGCAGCGAGTTTCTCTGAGGCAGGCATATTCTTAAGGGAGAGGGATGGAGCTTGTAATTGGGACCTACTTGCATTGAACAAAGCAAAGAACAAAGAACAGAGCAACCCAAGATCAGTATTTCAGGGGAGCATATTTTGTTCCTGATAACTGTTGGTTTTTCTCCATTCATCCATCAATTTTATTTTCTGTTGTTTTTTTTTTAAAAGGCAACAGCTGCGTATGGCCCTTGCTTTAACATGAACCCATGCTTAAAAGAAAGACTCCTTTATTAGGGCAACAGCTATGCAAACAATTTGTTTTGATTTTTTTTTTCGCAGATGGTTTACCCAGGTTGTGAAGAAACCATGGCACGGATGCAGACGCAATGCTAGCCTAGGCACAACTTCTCTCTTGCCGAGCAAGATAGAAGAACGTAGTGGTGGGTGCGCTCTGCCTTGTATACCTGTGCACCAAGGAGGGGTCAGGAGGGGCCTGAGTATACATGTTCTGAGTACTACAAAGGAAAAAATCCTTCCTGTTACAAGCAACAGGTATGCGTGCACTCACCTCTTGCTTCCAGGGCCCAGGCACACAGCCAGCTCAAGTGTAACAGAATACATTAGCTCAGACACAACCCCATTCAAACAGGTCTCTAATTCTTTGAGGGCCACTTCCAGTCTGGAAAAGTTTCAGCTACTTTTGTTCAATGCAGAACCCCAGCAAATCAGCCCAGCAGACATGTCTCAGCACCATATGCCCAGAAACATGAACCATGGAGAGCACGCTGTGGAGGCCTGCAGGGCTACATAGAAGGTCAGCTCAGACCAAGCAGAACTTATTACCTGCCATTCACTGCTGGCACAGAGGCAGCTCCCACAGATCCAGCAGCTCTACATCATGTTTAACCCAGACAAGGAATGCTGGCAGCAGTGTACCATGGCTACCTTGTGCTCTCCATGGTTCCTTGGCTTCTTCCATGGCTACCTTATGCTCTCCATGCACTTCAGACATACTGAGCAGGCAGGAACAGCTCGGGCAACATCATGCACTTCTTCCCTGTCACTCTCCTCCCCCAACCAATATGGATAAAAGGTGAATTCATCTTTGAAAAGCATTTAATCTTTGGCCTCTTCCCAGCTGCCAAACAGGCAGCCCAGCAGGTGCTAATTAGCTGCATGTTTTGTGAAATACAGACTTCCCGCTGGAAACTGAATTCAAACACCAAACTCGTCTCATGCAGATCATCCAACAGCCATTCAGTGGCCACAGTTTTGATAACTGCTTGAAGGCTGAGTAAACCCAACAGCAATATCGCTTCCTGTGTACTGTTCCTCCTATTCATCCTCAGGAGATTCAAGGCAGGCATTGTCAATATTAAATCTTTCCTCCAGTCTGCAGTCAAACACTGATGTTTAAAAAAGGGCTAGAGATGTTAGCTGTCCTGGGA